TCCAGTCCATTAACATATACGCGGTGCTTTGGCTCTTCTTCGTACATCCTGGGTCTACTTCTACCTCCAACTTGCTTCGGCTCTACGGTGATGCCTTGGACATCATCGAAGCTCGTGGCCGCGCCGATCGGCGCGAGCGNNCGGCGGGCCAACTGGAAGCTGACGCATGGCGGCAAGGCCGCAGGCAGAGGCGCCGGCAAAGGCGGGCCAGGAAGGCCTAATCCCTTCCAAGGGGAGCTCAGCATGACCTTGTCGGCTGGGTCCCTGGAAGGCGAGGGCCGCACTATGTCGTGTCCGCAAAACTTGGGTCGTTCCGTCGGCTACCTCGCGGAGGGCAAGAGATTTCTCCGCTGGCTCCAAGCCGAGGGCTCTATGAATGAGTCCATCGCTACAGAACTCTACGAGCGAGCTAAATGGAAGCGCACCACCATCGTCGAGGCTATCTGGGGGTTCGAAAAGCTTTGTGCATGTTGCTTGTCTGCTTGTGTTTTCTCCTTCCTTCTTGCATGCGACCTGCTCGCTGCCGCAAGTGGTTGTCTTCTGCTGTCTCGTTCTCCAGCCTTGCCGTCGCCTGTTGCAGGACAAGTCCTTCGAGATTTCTTATCCATTCTTCGCGGCCTGCGGGGCGCTGCATCTACCGGATGTGGCCAGCTTGTTCCTGGATAGCGACCCGCTGGGTTTGCGCGGACGCCTCAGCTTCTTCTACTCGCGCCCAGCCTTCAATACGGCCGCAGAAGTTCGCGCTGCCAACAATGAGCTTAATGCTCACGCGCATCTCGCCGACGACCTGGCTACGTTCTTCTGGCCGTGCCACACCACACACGACCCGGTCTGGGCCGGGCAGGAGCGGTTCGTCTCCATCAAGGCTTACCCGTTTCGCCTGTATCAGTTGAGTCCCGACGCGCAGGCTTGTTTCGACGAGCATTTTGATTTGCATGTGGCGAAACAGAAGGAGGCTCATCTTGTTGACCAAGAGAAGGCAAAATTCCACGGGAAAGCCAAGACCAAGCACATTCGCTTGGCTTTCGCCCTCCACCTCTTCGAGCAAACACGTCTCGGACATACGAGCGAGAATTGGAGCGCTGTCCTTGACAAGAAGCATTTGGTGGTCGCGCTCCAGCTCGGGGACTACCTGGATTCCGTTGCAGCCGCTATGCAGCGCTTCTTCGCGACCGTGATGACGGACACCACTCTGCCCGCGGCTCCGCCTGGCAAAAGCCGTCTCTCTGTTCGGGACCAGCTGGCGGCGGTTCTTGACGGCGACTGGGCCGTCTTCGCTGGGATTGATGACAGCTACAAGATTTTGTTTTGGAAGCTTGCTCAGGAAATCCTTCGTCAGGACGCAGTGTGGATCGTCAACACGGCTTTGTCCAGCTTGCAATCCGTGGTGGCTTTGCTCGGTTCCGTCCCCGATGGTGGCGCCACCGTTCTGCCTCGTGTTGCCAATTTGCTGCAACACTTGCAGCTCGTTGTTGTGGTGAAAGGCAACAACACACATGGAACCCCTCTCTTCTACATCGTCAAGCGCCCCCTCCTGGCCGGCATGCTCGGGTACAATCAC